TCATGTGGTGGAATAATCACATTGGGTATGTTGGGTACATGCCTTTGGAGATTAAGGATATGGCCAATAGTGGATCATTGGTCGGGATCCTCGATGGGTTGATCTATGATTTAACCATGTATCTCAGCTATCTGCCTGCTGTCATTACACCTACCAGTACGCAAGCAGGCGGAGGCATCAACACACAATTCATGAGTTCCACCATTGTTGATCTGTTCAAGATCAACTCCGGGCAGGATTTTACAAAGAAGTTCAAGGATGGTCTTGGACTTGATTCTGCAACACTCGAAAGCCAGAGGACATGTCTTCACAATCTATTCTTGATCAGTGCAGTCGACAATCGAAATTCGCCTCAGTGTCTGTTCTCACAATATATCTTGCTCATCCTTTTGGTTCTCATGGTCTCCATCATCAGGTTCAAATTCATTGCATCGATCAATTTCGGGGCTGTTTGTGCACCCAAGGACCATAACAAGTTCATGATTTGCCAAGTTCCATGTTACACTGAAGGCGAGGCATCACTTTGGCATACAATCAATTCATTGGCTGTGCTCAAGTATGACAATAAGTGCAAACTGATCCTCATTGTGTGCAACAGGAACATTGTTGGATCTGGCAATGATTGCCCAACACCACATATTGTGCTTGATATTCTGGGTGCTGACCCGAACTTGGACCCTGAACTGCTCAGTTTTGTATCGATTGGCGAGGGCGCCCGACAGCATAATATGGCCAAAGTGTACTCGGGTCTGTACGAGTGTGCTGGACATGTTGTGCCTTACCTTGTGGTCATCAAGGTCGGGAAGCTGACAGAGAGGTCATGTCCCAGGAATTGTGGTAAGCATGATTCACAGATGGCGGTCATGCATTTCTTGAACAAGGTATGTTGGTTCATGTTTACATGACATTTTAGGTGCATTACAATATGCCGATGAATCCCCTTGAGCTCGAGATGTATCACCAGATCAAGAATGTCATCAGCATCAAGCCAACATTTTATGAGTATCTATTTGCTGTCAATGCAGATATGACTGCAGAGCCATATGCACTTAACTGCCTCATTTCTGCATTAGTCATGTCGTGCTGCTTGGTAGGGGATTTGAGGAAACTGACCAGCCATAGAATGATTCATGACAAGAAAGCCCTTGGCATGTGCAGTGAAACATCCCTCACCAATGCCAAACAGTTGATTGTGACAATGATGCAGGTGCATATAGTCCCTGTGATGTCTTTGTTTGGTGCAAGGGCTGAGGGTGGTTCATTAGGTGTATGAGTACTTCATCTCCCATCACATGGTGAAGGCATTTGAGAGTCTGTTTGGCTCGCTCACTTGCTTGCACAGTTGTTTCACCTTGTTCTGTCTGCACATGCCAGACATGCACAATGTCTCCAACCAAATTACCCAAGATTATTCCCAGAACTGTGTCGATACCCTACACATGAAGAACTTACTGCTTCTTGGAGAAGATTGTTATTTGACAACCCTATTGCTCAAAGACTTCCTGATGTACAAGATGCAATTTATCAGGGATGCTCATGCTGAGACAGTCGCTCTGGATGATTGGAAGGTTCTGCTCTCACAACGTCATCATTGGATCAACTCAACCATTCATAATCTTGGTGAACTCATGTTCCTGGATCAGCTTTGTGGTTTCTGTTGCTTCTCCATGCATTTCATTGTCATGATGGATCTCGTATCAATGCTGATTCAGCCTGTCACTGTCACATATGTAGGTTGATTCATTGTCCTCAGGAGCATGATGATGCTTATAAGATTACAGATCGTCTACTTGATTGTGTTGGTCATTTATGAGCACAGTACCATCCCCTTCATCTTCCTTGTCATGATTGCCACCTGTGCACAGCTTGCAAGCCTTTGTGTTCATTCTGCATTGCAAGTGGGACATGGTTGGATGGATGGATTTCTATATCTTGGCCATCCTGATTTTCTCATTCATGCTTCCAATCTACTCATTTTGGCATATGGATGATTTCTCATGGGGTGCCACACAGTGTCATACTGGGAGAATCTGGAAAGAAGATCATCGTTCATGTAGGTGGCTTAATCTTGAATGCATTATGTCGCTGATCGCTGTTATTGTGCGTTAGGACGAAGGCAAGTTTGATCCTTGCTCTATTCTCCTCAAAACATGGAATGACTATGTGTGTCAGTCCTGCCATTTGCTTTGACAATAAAGGACTGACATCTTGCAGGAAAATGAGTTGTGGGACTGAGAATCCAATCACAGCATTGGCTCTTGGGTACCCCCCACCCAATTCTGCAAGGAAGGATTGTACTGCATCCCTGTACGACCACGAAACCTTTTATGAGCCTCATACCCAATCACCTGCTCCCTCGCAGTTTTGCATACTCCTAGCTGGTATGCAATCTGGTCGCAATACTCCTCTGTCAATGGCGATGTCATATATGCATCCTTGAGTGAAGCCGGAATACTACCTCAACAGTCACTCTCAAGACCCCCTGACAACTTATATGATGCATGAGATGGACTTTGGAGCTGTGGTGCCAAGCGATGTTGACCTGGAGCAGTGCCATTCAGAATATTTTGCGAACTGCAGACCTGAATACCATCACGAAACACGAGATTCTAAATTATTTGACAGTCATCTGAAGCTGGGGGCAGCAGTTTGGGATGGATTTATGTTCAAGCACCACATTATAGTACTTGGGGGTTCATTGTGCAATCAAACTACTGTCCAATGTGGCAAGGACCTGCTCAACATTTAATTTGCAGTGTGACGTAGTAGACCTTTGGACGTGATTATGCCAATGATATTATATTATTATATTACCATTCTTTGATGATTACTATAATAAGATGCTGGTCTATGTCAGGATTCTTTTCGGCTAATTTTAATTTTAATACTCTTGGTCTGCAACCACAACCATGCCCATTCACCACAACCATGCTCATTCACCATGATCATGCCTGTTCACCATGACCATACCTGTTCACTGCAGTTGTACCCCTCCTGCAGTCCACATATGTTCTGCTGCCTTTGTATTCCATCCCTCCCAATACTCCAGAGGCGTCTCCATCTTACTCTATGCCAGAATCCACCTCCTCGGCTTCCTCCACTGCACCCCCACCATGCACTAAGACATGACCATTGTCACCATCAACAATGACCCTACCAATTCATTCCTTCTTCTCCCAAGTTAAGTTCCATGTCACTAAGGACACATTGAGGGTGCTGAGATCTCCAGCAACAGCAACCAATCTGCTTGCTCTTCTCTGTTCGTCAACCCCACCAGAATCAATTAATAGACATCCTTGTCTATATTCCCATGTCAGTCCACCAGCACACTGCACTCCCAGGTCACTGAACTTTATTTTATGCAGACAGTGCCATCCCCCCCCCTCCCCACATGTACCCCATCACCTCCTCATGCGCAACATCATTCTGACACCCACACCTGCTGTATTGCACCTCTGATACCTAGATGCCCCATGACCTCCTGCCCCCTCTATGCCCTCACCTTGCCTATCCATGCCTGGTGTTTCATCTCTTCCCGAACCATTGCAGTGCAGCTGATAGCCCTCAAGGCTTAGTGAGGTAGGTGGCTTTCTCAATCAACCACAGTTAGTTCCATCTAACCATTGTTGGGCATAGAAGTACTGTCATTTGCGACCTCAGTGTTTGCTGTGCACTATTGCTAGTACATTATTTTGTACATGCAGTGTGTTAATCCCATAGTTGTTTGAATCCATGGTTCTCAATAATAGCAAAAATAGGAACCTGAAAAATAAAAATGAAAACATGAAGATTATAATGGGTGGCGAAGCATGGCCATGCATGGTAATGGTGTCTGTGGTATTGTATGTACTTGGCATGCTGTTGTGTACTCAACAATGGTGTCACGTTGTGAGTCAAAGTGAGGTTCAGTGGTGAAAACCAACCAAAACCAACACAAAAGACAATGAAAGCGAGTGGTGGTGTGCCTATGCAGTACCTAGATGGTAGAACCTGTTCTTTGGGAGGGTTTTTGCAAGCTACAACACTCAAAGATGAGTGCTGAGGGTTGGGGGTGCTCCTGACAAAGAGGGAGCAAGAATGTGATAGAAAGCGATAGGGTAGACTGCTGTCAGCCTACAGAAGGATGGATGGTGAGTTAATTCAATGTCCTAAGCTGTACTGAGCTCAGGGAGGGCTTGGAGCAAAGTATATGGATGATAGATGATGATAAGCGAAGTAGATGATAGCTAGACCCTTAATAAAGTCTCAACTATCGAAGCTGATGAATGATTTACTGAGAGATGATAAATTGTGAGCAAGAGGGGCTCTCTGATGTCTCTTTTTTTTTGCTACCTAAGTACAGTGACTTATATACAGTACAGGGGCGTTGCCTATGGAAAACAAGGTGCAAACACTTGGTAAGTGATTGGTAACTGATGAGTAAGGAATGTAAGTGATGGGTAATCATCTTGGAAAGCATTGGTAAGCATTGGTAAGGATAAGTAAGCCAAAAAGCAAAGAATCAGTAAGCAAAGTCAAAAGATTGGTAAGTATTGGCAATGGTGAGTCAAAGACAGTCAGAATGTCACAGTATGAGTCAAGCAATGTCAGGAACTGGGAAAGTGCACTGGAATCACATCAGGGGGAGGCCGTGCATGTCACATCTTGAAGAGATCACTTCTAGGCCAAAGTGGGATGACAGAGAGGCAGCGCTGATCTGATGCCAATATAGTACATCCAAAAGCGGACAGGGTGAGTCAGATGTCAACAGGGGTCAAGCTTTGGGGGTCTGTGGGGTGACAGGAGCATAGGGGATTGCAACTTTCCCCCCCAAACCATCCTCTCAGTGAAGCAAACAAAAACTTCATGAATGAGGCTTTGTTGGAAGAGAGGATGAAGGGGGAGCGTCTTCTGCTGTATCTTGCAACAAGGAGGCAAGATGTGCATCATACTTGTCATGGATGCAATCAGGGAGAGTGGAGAACAGTAGATTATACTGTAGCTGTCACAATTTTGGAAGAATGATGGATGAGACTGGTATGAAGACATTGCAGGGGGCAGGGAGGAAGGATCCATATGCTTCTTGGACTGGAGAGACTGAAACGACCACATAAGACCTTTCCAAGTGAATGACAGACCTGAGGCAACCAAAGAATGTCCTCCTGGAGGTCATACTGACAAAAAGAACACACTGTCCAAGCTGGATGGGCTGAGAGGGGGCAGATGAGGGTGGGATGTACCAGGACGCTTCAGGACAGAAGCTGGTAGGAACTCCTGGTAGATATATGTAGCCATGGTCCCTAACAAAGGGGACAAGCGAAATGACTGATGTGGAGGCAGCCATATCAGAAGAATTAGCGAAATGAGCGTCTTTTGGAGGGAGTGCTGTAGAAACGTGTGGAGTGCGCAAATCCTTTCCAATCTTGGAAGGTAGGATCGTGTGGCTGAGCACTACAAGCAAGTGTGGGAATGGTTTCGGTGTCTGCAGAATTGGTGGAGATACGTCGAAAACTGGAATGCTGTACACGGGCGCTTAAGAATTTTATTGGCACTTAACTTGCCTCCTCCTTTTTCTTTGGCACTGACAACTTGTTCTTGTGCAAGGGATGACTGCTGACATTGCTGGCTGTCCTTCTTCACATGAGGGCTATGGTCTTCACCTCCATTTATCAGCTACATCCATGTCCACCTCACCAAACACCTTTGGTGTGTGACACTGTGCAGAGAATGTCTCTTCAAATCCATATGCTGCAGCTCTTTTTTTCAACTTTATTATCCACTGAGTGTTGGATACTCTGTTTGGGATACAGAAGAGGGGTAGTCAGACAACTAGTCACATGGGGGTCCTCAGACATCTCAGTGCATATTTTGGTGTGGTAGAGGCACAGGGCAGAGGTTCACTTCATGTCCACATGCTCTTATGGCTGGCTCACACCCCAAATGTGAATGAGATGCAGGCCTTGTTGCAACAGGAGTCTTTTCATGAACAGATTCACTCATACATCTCAACCAATATCCATGCCCACCTTGATGACCTCACACCAAATGACATTGTCAATATGCCCAGGGATCCTCAACTTGCATACTCCTGCCCCCCTGACCCATGTGTTTCAGCCTGGTCAGTCATCAATCATCAATTCAAACACCAGCTAGTCAGATCCCAGCAACTTCATTCTTGCTCTGGAGTGACATGTCTGCACATGCACAATGGTGAAAGAGAACCCTGGCCTTTAAATGCCCAGGACTTTGTCAACAAGCGAGGAAACTGGGGTCCAAGGCAGATGCATGGTTACATCAATGCATATTGCCCAACATTGTTAACAGTGATGTGTTGCAACAACAACTTGAAAATCAACACCAATGGTGCTGATACAAAGGATGTCTGGTTTTACATCACTGCCTATGTGATGAAAAAGCAAAAGAAGTCACACAACTTGTCTGTGTTGATGGCATCAACACTACCATATCACCACAAGAATCCTCAATATGATGATGTGTGAGAACACAACTGCTTACTACTGTACTGCTGCATCAATGTGATCAATCGAGAGACAGAGTTGTCAGGACCACAGGTGATGTCATATCTCATGGGCTTCAGTGACAACTTCAGTTCTCACAACTATGCTGCCTTGTACACTGGCACTTTATTCTCCTCTGTCAAAACTATGTTTCCTGAGCTTCACATGTCAAGCTCTGGCATGTAAGTTTGTTGAGCTGTTGGACATTGGGCACCAGTCCTGACCACATTCATAGAGTCAGTCAAAACATTGATAGGTCCAGTGATGACACTAGTGATGACAATGATGTCATTACCCTTGGCTCAACCCCTGCTGGTGTTTTGTTTCCTTGCTTGCAAGTGCAGGACTATGTCTTTTGCGGGCCAGAGTTGGAGGACTTCTGTCTTTTGGCATTTGTCACAGATACATGGGAGGAGCATTATACACAGTCTCAGGCCTGCCCACCTGCACCTTCTGTGCCCAAATGTGGCTGGCCTGCACATCTGTGTTCGTACTATTCAGAGCAGCATCCAAAGTGGAAGTCACACCATCGTGTCTGTCATGCCAGTTGTCTTTGGTTAATCTCAAAGCCAGCATCATCAGTATAGTGTGGCACCACTTAGCAGACTTCCAGGGACTGATGGATGAGAAATTCTGCAATGATATTGAGTGTGTAACTGCAGATGCCATTGGTTTAGCTTTTGGAATCATGCAGAAGGTGCACAAGAAAGGTAGGGTATCCTTGGTCTTGATTATGTCTCTGCTTAGTGCTTCCTTGACAGCTTTCCCAAGTTGCTCCCCCACATAATGACAACTCCTGCAATTCAACCCAGGTCTGTTTCTCCACCTTCCTATGTTGTGTTCTGTCTAAGATAATGTACCAGCAGCAGGGGTGAACAGAATCAGTAGGATCAAAGAAATTGTTCATTCCTGGTGCATGGTCCTAATCAGATGTCTGTCATTAGACTAAGGTACAATTGATTATATTAGGGACAAACCAATAAGAAAAACACAGAGAAGCATGGCATTTGCAACCAGGCAACTAACTCCAAACAATGAGAATGCCATCATGATTAATTGATCAGAAACAATAATGTGGGTAACAATAACCTGCCCACCCTCATAAATGCCCTAATAAATTCCTCAATTTCTCCCAGTGACTGAATCAAACCAAATCCCCATGCTTCCTGTCAGGTCACAATGTGCAAGGTCTCAATCTGTTCCTCCCCTTGTCCCCCACCTGGTGGAGACTTTTCCCCTGTTATCCTCACAGGCCAAGATAGTGTATCAGCAGGTCTGGTGTGTCATCATGGTAGCAGAGCAAGAAATGAGGCCCATGAGCTGTCAGACCTCTTTGGAGCATACGAAGGAGCTGTGTAGGGTGCAGTCACCCCAGTCCAGTCAGATGTCCACTAAGGATACATCCAAATCGCCTTGGTCACAGTTGCCCAATCAGGATACACCCAAATTGCCTCAGTCACCAATGACAGTCAGTTTTGCTGGTGTTGATGTTGGGGAACCATGATCTTTGCCTTCACCCTTGGACTCCTCACTCACCAGCCTTGAGTCTATTGAGCTTACCACTAAAATTTGGACACCACCCAGCGAGAGAGGCTGTCTGGGAAGGGGTGGATACAACCTTGAGGAGCACTTGTGATGGAGTGGCAATGAGATGTGTAAAGTCAAGGTATGTATGTCTTAGACAATGTGCTTCATGAACTAAGGTAAGACTTGGCAGCAAGTTGTCCACACAGCAGTGAAGAAGTATCTCAATACAACAAAAAGCAGGAGTACCAAGATTCCAAAGCTGTTCAGAAAGTCACTGGCATTGTAGGTTGTTTATTGTGTCCAGAGCAAATTTACTCACCCATTTTATGCCAGGCAATGGTTCCCATGGCTTGAGGACTACAAGCACTGTTGGCCTGTTCTCAATATGATCCACCTTCATCTCAAGTACCTTTCATCAAGGCACTGGAAAAGGTGAGAAGAGACACCTCACCCAAGTGAACTGTCAGACTCAAACTGTAGGTGGGTGCTCAATGTGCTGGATACAGCCAGCCTGAAGTACCTTGTACCTTTGTGCCTAGAATCCATCATACACATACATCCCGCTCTGACTTATAGCTATCACCCACATATCCACTTGTATGCCCTATTGTTTAGATGATTGCTGCATGCCATCTTTCATGTCATCCTGTATGAATGTGATGAGATCTTTATTGTGTTGCACTCATGAACTAAGCCTAAACCTAACACACACTGAGTCTGCACATTCTAACCTACAATACTGAGGTTGACAGTGTGTGCATTGTGTGATTTTGCTGTGGCTACCATGTGATCATGAGTTGTGTTCATTTTGTATCTATGAATTTGTTGTATTTCTACATTTTTCTCCATCATGCTGCCTTTTCTGCCATTAGACAGTTGTAAGGTACTAAGCACAACTCATGATCACATGCATGTGTCAGGTTTGGCGCTTTGCTTAAGCAGCTACCATGTGATTGTGAGTTGTGTTCAGTATATCAGTGGTGAACTTTCTCACAAACACTTTTTCCCTCTTTTCACTGTCCCACAGGTAAGTGGCCAATGTACAGTGCTACCTGTGTGGGACACTGCCTCTGGGTAGCATGCTGATTAGGGGGAAAGCTGTAGGGTAATCCCTAGGCTTGACCCAAGGGGTGCTGAGTAGGAAGGAGACATAGAATATGATGGTAGAGTCAATCAGGAAGTTGAATGTAGGGTGTGGAATTTAATTCTGCAGTGTTGTAGACAATTTGGGTCCAAATAGACTTGTTTATGAAATTCCAAGTGACAATCTTGGCATGAGGAAGTAATTCTGAGACTCGTGAGACATGAAGGCAAGATACAGATATGTGGGGGACATGAAAGACACAGTAGATGTAGATTGACACTAGAGATGCAGATGACACAGTAGACACAGGACAAAGCAGACACTTTGAACACTTAGACACACAAATGACTTGGATAGTGACTCCAAAAGATGGGTGGTATTTTTCCATTGCTGAGGCGGAATTATATAGTACATGGAGAGTAAGGTACTGATTGGGATAATGTGGGGTGGGTGAAGTAAAAATTCTGAAAAATAAAGGGAGATGTGACAGATGTCAATGCACTACAGAATCATGTGAAAACAAACTGAAAAGCAGTAACTGAAAGAAACAAAAGGGAAAGACAGGTATCTTTCAACAGAACAAGCATACCACATACCATAGAGTAGCATATGCAAAGGATAGAGGCTGTAGATGCAAAGGGGTTCTTGCATTGCAGAGAAAGATTCACTGGAAAGGAATGAGAGGGGTAACTGGGGTTTATTACTGATGATCTGTGTGATTTCCCAGCTACATGGAAAGGCAAGGGATGAGGCAACACAACTGTGGAATTCTGGATAGACATATGTCAGGTTGATGTTGACATGGAATTCTGGGACAATGACTGGTGTGTGTTATTGATGGACAGGGGAGCTCTGAAGGTTCAATGGGCAAGGCAGCACATGAGGCTGATGCAATAATTCTGAAGACAACAGACATGGAACTCTGATAGGGGTCAACTTTGGTAACAGCAGAATTTTGGTGTTGGCATCCCTATTTCAGCCTCAGGGAGTATACCACTCCCTACACCTGCATACTAACTGTGTCCCACAGTCGTGTCATATCCTTTGCAGTAAGTCACTGGCACAATGTTTGATTCACAATCACTCATCGCAGTTCAAGTGTTCCACCCAATAAACATGCATGGTAGGGTATTGTGAGCAGCATCTGACTTGATTGCCACTGTGACAGTGATTGGCAACTCAAAGTACAATGTCTGAGTGCCATTGAGTGTTTAACCCAATAAATGTGCATTTGTATATATGTAGACACTGTCAACCATAATAATTAAGGTAGCTTGTAGTAACTTATCAAAGTGGGTGTTACAGAATTTCAATAATACCAGTGTAGACCAAGATATAATGAAATTGCACATGCTTGAGGCGATGACTTGGAAGCAATGATATGAAGCACATTCAGTAAAGATAAGCACAATGTATGCTGCATACTCAGTTGTCGATCTGACTACATACCCCTAGATCATTCTTATTGTCCACATCAAAAGATACCATTTTTTGTCCTCTTGTCCAGGACAATAGCAGTTCTGGTTGCCAAGCTTAGCACCTGTCCCCTCAAATAGCTGAAATTGTGGCCTTATATTGCTTCATTAGTACTTCCCCCTCCACTCTATCTACTGCTCACTAGTTACCTCCAGCTCTATGACAACCCTGCTATCAATGGAACCAAAGGTCAAAACCACTACCACTCTCCCCAATGACAAGGCATTTGCCTTTCTTGAGAGGTTCACACACAAAGAATTCACTGACACCACCCTCCTATTCAACATCAAAATTGAGCTTGCTGTTGCTGGCATTGCCTTCAAATTGGAGGAATGGTTAGACCTGATCAAGATCATCATATTGAATCTGGGGGGCATGGGGATAAATGCCATCAAGGCTGCATGGGAGCTCAAACAAGCTAAGGTAGCCCCAGTAGTTCCCTTGTTGGAAGATGCTGCCACATGGCAGTTGGTTTTGTGTTGGGCAACTGATGATAGCCTTTCCTTCAGCATATTCTTGACAGAGATGGAGAAGTTTGGCAACAGATACCAGTTTGACAAGTGGAAGTCCATCTTTGACCAAGTATTTGAAGCCTCTTGGGAGGGTACCACTGTTGAGGTCATTAGGGCAGCCATGGCTGAGCATGGTGTCATCAAGCCCTCTAGTAAGTAGATCTTTAAATCCTCATGATTTACTGACATCCACCAGGTGTACATGATCCCCCCCCTGCTGAGGCTTCTTCCTCCCATAAGTAAACTTCTCAAAGCAATTTTGTAAACCAATTCATTCTGTATCTCACAGGCAACATCTCCCATGTCATCCTCTCCCCCCAAGCTCCTTCATTGCAGACTTGTAAACCTATGTTCACCTTAGGTTTTGGATCCCTTGCTAACCACTCAATCAGGCAGAAGCTCATGCAGATCCCACCACTCCCTACACCCAGCGAAGCATCCAAGAATGAGCACATCTGCTTCTCAATATCTGGATATTTCTGCACAGGAGGATGAAGAGGACAAAGAGGAAGACAAGGAAGATGAACTAGACAATGAAGTGGACTGCCATCCAAGGGTGACCATGATAGCTCCATCAGGGCACATGAATCTAACTCAACAGCTCAAAAGCCTTTTCCACCACTATGGTGGCAAGGGGAGTGCAGAAGGGTCAAGGGCAATGGTGCATCAGCAGTCAAAGATCATATGGAGGTGAATATGAATCAGACTCAGCCAAGAGTATTCAAGGTCATGCTGCCCTCTGGTATGTCATGTCTCCTCTTCACTCCTTCACTTGGGAACTTACCTGGTCTCCATTAGCTTGTTCTGCAGGATTCATCCTCCAGCACTTCAAGCTGGAGGGCCTGGAATGCAAGACCTTCCATTCAATCCCTCACCACATATATGTGGAAGCTCCCAGCATGCATGATGTCTGACTCAGGCTCCCCCCTTCACACACCAATCTTGTCCCACAGATCATGCCAGTACCAATGGAAGAAATGGAATCCTTTGTGCAGCCCTGTGACATACCTGTTCACTCTTGGGTTCACTTGTTAACAGGCAGCCTCAAAAATGAAATTGCCTATGTACAGCACATTGAAGGCAACTCAGTGTACATTCTCATTGTTCCTTGGAATTTGCCCTACATCTCCAGTGGTGAGAACTCTGTGGTCTGCTGGGAGCTTTTTGATGTGGACCTGGCCTACAAACATGGCCTGGAAGTAACCCTTACCCTGAGTCCAGAGGGGCATACTATCACCCACTGCCTCCAGTCTCAGTACCACTGCAGCCTTCTTCATGGATATTTTCGAAGGTGTAATGTTGAGCCAGTGAACCTGCCTACTCCTGAGCAAATTGCATGGTTCATTGTGTTGGGTGTGGATCCCACTTTGGTCACACATACCTTAACTTATTTCTCTGCTCAAAGGTGGCAGGTAGGGGACTGTGGCAAGATTCAGGCTGGGGAGTTTGTCAACAAGGTAGCCTACATCACAATGGACATCCAAGGTGAATCAGTGATTGTTTGTTTGGATAATCCTACCCTGGAATTGCCTGCATCTCTGGAGATTTCAATCTACAACTTCAAATGCAAGTTTCACAGTGGCAATTCAGTAGATGTCATTGCCAGCCCTCATCATGGCTTTGAGGGCATGGTACTTAGTGTTGACATGATCAAGGAGATGGCTCTATTGTGTGGCAATGACAGACAACAGGAAAGTCAGGGTATTCAGAGTAAAATCCTTTGCTGACACTTGCTCATAGATGGACATCTCTACAATCTTCCTGGCATTGCACAGAGTGCTGCTGAGCTATCCCAACTGAGATCCCCATGATCAACTGCGAATGCCATCCCCCAGTTGAAGAGCACTTCATAGAGCCAGGGGATGCAGTATGGATCCTCACCAGACACTACAGGGGCCTCACAGGCTGAGTGCAATACTTCTCCTACAGCCTCAGACAAATATTGGTCACACAGCACATCAAAAAGGTGTTCAATGACAAAGATGCCAAGGGGGACAAGGGCAAGTCCAAGGCTCAAGTACCAGAGGTTCCTGGTGAGGACAGCAATGGTGATGGGGCTGACAATGAGGTGATCATTGTCAGCTTGGATGACATCCAAGTGACAGCTTGACCAATTCTGCAGTTCTCGAAGAAGAAGGGGTGGGACATATCTAAAGGCGACCTAATACAAGTCATATGTGGTCCTGCTGTAGATGTTGAAGGGGTCGTTTGCAGCATTGACTTGATCACTGCAACCCTTACACTGGAGTCTGAAGACAGTCCATGGGTACATGGTTCTACTTTGCCTGTCATCCCATCTCTCTAATGGCATCATAGTGCGAACATCCCTATCAACTTCTGTGCTAAATTAAGGGACTACTCCCTTCATGATGCAGAACATCATATTGGATGTGAAGTATGGATCATCTCAGGTCTGAATAAGGGATACAGTGGGATGCTGCGATCAGTAGGCCAAACTTCATGCACAGTTGCAATCCATTCCGGCACAATGACATTCAAAAATACTGCAGTCATCTCCAGGTAAGTCACTTCATTGCTAGGGGTCATGCACTGATATTTCCTTTTTAGATTTGGCATGTTGCTTGATGGGACACTGCTAGGTTCCTTGTGATTGGTGGCATTCAATCATATGTGACAGGGAAGTTTCATACCTGAATCTCAACCTTGCAGCATCACTCCACCTCTGCCACCAAGTTAAACTCCCTCAGCAGATCCAGGTCCAAGCAACCCCTGGGTCACCACCCCCAATGATGTCAATGCACAATGTTGCAGTGAGCAGGAGCAACAGAGCATTGACTATGGTACATTGATTCTCTCCCCCCCTTGCTACACATTTTCTTAACTTTGTTGTTTAGGATGCATGTCCTGGCTCTTTGACAATGACTTCTGTAACTTCAGCAAGTGGCATGTCTGCTTGAGAGTCAGGCTTGCCTACAATCATGGGACCCTGGGCAAGCAAGTGGTTTGCACCACCATTTCAGATCATTTCTTTTCAGAGAAGCATGGCATGGCACCTCCTGGGCATGTATTGGCCACCATGACCTCAAGCACTGCAAGCACCATCATTGAACATCACACTCTCCCACCAACCCAACAAGTACTGGTCAGCACTGCCTAATACTGCAGGGTGCACTCAAGGGTGAAATTCACCACATCAGTAAATGTCACAGTAAAAAAGCCCCAAAAGGGGTGGTATTAGAGAATGGGACTCAGCTCCTGTTATATGATGTTTGCCTGGTCATTGCAGCATGACTTGTTGATGCTGCAAGATAGGCCATTCAGCCTAATCGTGATCAATTTACTGACATTCCTTCAGTTCTTTCATATAGTCACATTGTATAGACAGATGTAGGATCTGTACATAGATGTCACCTTTGTGAGCCATGTTGATATGCCTCCAGACATGAAAGTGACCAAATGAGGTGTGCCCCTTAGAATGGTCAATTTGCCTACAACTATAACAACAAAGGGGGTGCACTCCCCATCATTATATTACATGCTGCCTGGGTTGTGTGCTTCCTTCCAGTACCATTACTAGAGATTAGTCAATCATACTGTCACCTAGATATGCTTAATTGCATTGGAGATACAAAAAGAATGCCTAATATGGAGATCACTGGGCAGTCACCAGCCAATCATTGGCCTGCTCTTTGCCTGATGTCTTCTGAGCATCTCAGAACTGATATTTAGTTATTTACTTTGGTAACACCTTTTGATGATGCAGATAATCTTATGCTTTGATAATCTCAGAATGGATTGCATAGTATTGAATTATGCATCCATACAAAGTGATTTCCAAGTTTCAACTTTTACTGTTGTTACCAGCTGTTTAGGAAGCATTTCTCACAATATAGACTTTGGATAAATATTATATGTTTGCTTGAAATCAAGATATACAAGAGTCTTGTAATTTGATTCATAAGAAAATATGCTATTTTCACTTTGGAATACTCTTTAGAGTATGTGATAACATTGAAACTGCCACAGTGATATTGGCTGGGGGCATGGTTACTAGTTAAGGGATCCCCTTGGTGAATTATTATACTGTGCTTTGCTGTAACATGTACTTCTTACCAAGTAGTACATCATGAATTGTGATTGAAAGTGGGGCATGATAACATGTGGTATGTGATATCAGAGGACATCAGTACAATTAGCAAGTAAAATGATCATTGGAAAAGCACAGGGGATGAACTAATATGTGGCAGTACAGCAGCAGGTATACCCAACATAAAAATACAATTTAAGACATCATTTGCTCATGGGAATGGAAACATTTGTACCACTCCTTGCCATGGGCCATCTGACTCAAGTCCAACTCTGTGCAACAGCCTCTAGGAATGACTTGTATGGTCCACATTGAGTAAAATGGACTCCTAAGTTTTGGGGGGATCCAAAGTAGTAGTTGTCCCTTTGGGCCTCTGATCCAGCCATCATCATGTAACTTGACTGCTTGGCCCAGCATAGCCTGCTGTTGCACAAACCCATCAACAAGTGGATTGCTATTATGCAGTGCATGTGAGGGGTCAAATGAAAAGCAAATGGGATATCTCTTTGCATCTGCATTTTTATTAAGTGAAATAAGGATAGGTCACAGGTCTCCATGGAGGTACATACCATCTGCAGGGGGGGATGGATGAAGCATGCTGGAGGGGTGGGATACAATCAGTGCCAACTGCTCATTCTCCCAGAGCCTCACAGTGTTGTCCCAAGAGCCTGAGACAATCCTCTTGCCATCAGGGGAGAATGCAACTGAAAAGACTCCAGAAGTATGACCCTCAAGAGGGCTACCAATCTGCACACCTCCCTCAACATCCCAGACCCTCACAGTCTTGTCCCTTGAGCCTGAGACAATCCTCTTCCCATCAGGGGAGAATGCAACTGAAAAGACTCCATCTGTATGACCCTCAAGAGGGTTGCCAATCTGCACACCTCCCTCAACATCCCAGACCCTCACAGTCTTGTCCCAAGAACCTGAGAGAATCCTCTTCCCATCAGGGGAGCATGCAACTGAAAAGACTGCAGAAGTATGACCTTCAAGAGGGCTGCCAATCTGCACACCTCCCTCAACATCCCAGACCCTCACAGTCTTGTCCCCTGAGCCTGAGACAATCCTCTTGCCATCAGGGGAGAATGCAACTGAAAAGACTCTAGAAGTATGACCCTCAAGAGGGCTGCCAATCTGCACACCTCCCTCAACATCCCAGACCCTCACAGTCTTGTCCCTTGAGCCTGAGAGAATCCTCTTCCCATCAGGGGAGAATGCAACTGAAAAGACTCCATCTGTATGACCCTCAAGAGGGCTACCAATCTGCACACCTTCCTCAACATCCCAGACCCTCACAGTGTTGTCCCAAGAGCCTGAGACAATCCTCTTCCCATCAGGGGAGAATGTAACTGATTCAACTCCATCTGTATGACCCTCAAGAGGGCTGCCAATCTGCACACCTCCCTCAACATCCCAGACCCTCACAGTCTTGTCCCTTGAGCCTGAGACAATCCTCTTCCCATCAGGGGAGAATGCAACTGAAAAGACTGCAGAAGTATGACCCTCAAGAGGGCTGCCAATCTGCACACCTCCCTCAACATCCCAGACCCTCACAGTCTTGTCCCCTGAGCCTGAGACAATCCTCTTGCCATCAGGGGAGAATGCAACTGAAAAGACTCCAGAAGTATGACCCTCAAGAGGGCTACCAATCTGCACACCTCCCTCAACATCCCAGACCCTCACAGTCTCATCCTCAGAGCCTGAGACAATCCTCTTCCCATCAGGGGAGAATGCAACTGAAAAGACTCCATCTGTATGACCCTCAAGAGAGCTGCCAATCTGCACACCTCCCTCAACATCCCAGACCCTCACAGTCTTGTCCCCTGAGCCTGAGACAATCCTCTTGCCATCAGGGGAGAATGCAACTGAAAAGACTCTAGAAGTATGACCCTCAAGAGGGTTGCCAATCTGCACACCTCCCTCAACATCCCAGACCCTCACAGTCTTGTCCCCTGAGCCTGAGACAATCCTCTTGCCATCAGGGGAGAATGCAACTGAAAAGACTCTAGAAGTATGACCCTCAAGAGGGCTGCCAATCTGCACACCTCCCTCAACATCCCAGACCCTCACAGTCTTGTCCCCTGAGCCTGAGACAATCCTCTTCCCATCAGGGGAGAATACAACCAAAAAGACTCCATCTGTATGACCCTCAAGAGGGTTGCCAATCTGCACACCTCCCTCAACATCCCAGACCCTCACAGTGTTGTCCCAAGAGCCTGAGACAATCCTCTTGCCATCAGGGGAGAATGCAACTGAGAAGACTCCAGAAGTATGACCCTCAAGAGGGCTACCAATCTGCACACCTCCCTCAACATCCCAGACCCTCACAGTCTTGTCCCCTGAGCCTGAGACAATCCTCTTGCCATCAGGGGAGAATGCAACTGATTCAACTCTAGAAGTATGGCCATGTAGCAGCTGTTGTTCCACTGGCCACCCATTCAACCCTCTTACAGTAACTCCAGCCAGGCTTGGGAATTTTGGCAAGAGCATCATTGATAGCAATGCATTGGAAGGAATAAATGGCAATGCAGAAGCATACAGGTGTGGAGTGCTGTGCACTATCACACTGCCAAAATTCCGAATTAACTTGATTCCATCTTTTACCAATGCCAATATATCCTTCAAGCCATCTTGACCCTTTATTGCTGGGTCAGATGTCATCAAATACCATACATAGGGTACTCACCTGTAGCCATGTTGCAACAGTACCAAGAGCATCTACACCCTTCCCAACTATCCCCAGAAGACTTAATACCTCCAGCCAGAACAGAATCTTTTCACTTCCAACAATAGCCTTCACCAACCCTGCAAGTTCCAAGTCAAATCCTGTCCTCCACAGATGCTGAGCCCAGAATCGACAGGAGTAGGAGAGATGGTATGGAATCTTCTCCTTGATTCTCTTTGACAGATCAGAAACTTCAGAATTGGCAAGGTAGGAGCTTTCTAATTCGCAGATGTTGAATCGAAGGTTATCATGAAGAATCTGCAATGAAGCGAAGGCTGGGTCTCTTGTATGTTGTATGTTGGAGGCATCAATGAAGTAGATACCGCTCCGCGAATGATCCGTCAGGAAGTCATAAAAGGATGCATGAAGGGGCCGCACAGCAGAGACGCGGTCCACAATGCCACCCAGCACCGGAGACATGAACTCGAGGATGAGAAAAATGTCATAGCGCTCCAGCTTTTTGGGAATTTTTCACGCATCGAATTCAAGGCTGCCATAGGAAGAGGTTCGAGCGTCATCATGATTTGTCGCATAACGGAGTGATATCGTTCCAGGCCTCTCCCAGATTCAGGTATGCCCCCCTTCAGGATTTCAAAGTAAGTCGTGTCCAGAAGTGTCCTTCCTTCTTTCGACTCGAAAGCCATCAGATTGTCGTAGCGTTCTTTCGAAGTTTCTCCAGCGTTACCTGGCTTGATGAACTCGCAAGCCAGACGAGCCCACTCGAACAGACCATCAGATTTTTTGACGACATTCTGGACTTCCGTTGCTCCAATGCTGGGAAAACGGTCAAGTTCCTTGGAAACATATAGCTGGATGTCACGTTCCACCAACTCCCGAGGGACGTCGTCCAATGAGGTTGCCTTCACGTGTTGAACATCCCTCATGACACGTTCGATGTCCGGCAATGGTCTGGACGTCAAAAGGATCCGGAAATTGGCTGGCAGCTGCGCAGCTTCTGATGATTTCAGGAGGCCCAAGATTTCCCTCCTCGACGTCTCCGGCCCACTTTCATCCAACGCATCGATTACCACGACCACATTCCCAACTATCTCTCCATTAATCTCCGACAGCGGCTCCAAGATGAATCGTTTCCACTGCTGTAATACATCGCATGTGGTCTTAAGAGAGTGGTCATTTGACACCACATTCGACAATGCCCGTCGAAATGCCGGATCACGATCCGCCAGATCACGGGCGATAGTAGTCAGAATCTTTTCCTCCCGTCGTTCGGCCTGCCTGTCGCGAGCGAAGCAGAAACAAGTGCCGGGTGCTTTCACATCCTTGATCCACGATGCGATTGTATGGGCAATGGCAGACTTTCCTCTTCCGGGCTGCCCGTGGAGCCACAAGATACGAGGGGCATTGACGTCACATGTGGTAATCCAGTTGATGATATCCTTCAAAATTTCTGTCCTGGTGCCTTCGAGGCATTTCTTGGTCGTATTCAGGCCCGCACCAGCTGCGTAAGCCATGCCTTCAAGGTTCAGGTCTTCAAGCACGTGGGACATCTTGATTTGGATGTCCCGTATCGCGCGATCTCGATATTGTTGCATCAGATCACCGAGATTCTTGATGTGGCCACAGGCGACGGTCTGCGGGTCAGAAACAAGGCTGTCCCCGATTCTTATCACTGACGATGTATCACATCAGCACACTGAAGCGGATCAGAGGACCATGACCATAGGACCTACAGATGTTCTTCTTTTTACAATATTTTACGACGAACAGCGCTGCGGCACTCATCTCCTGTGAAATCCTCCGTAACGTCTCTTTCATGCTATCCATATTCTCAATAGTATCCTTTTCCATAAGAAATTCGTAGAGATCCTTCACGGTATTGAGGAGGCCAAACACCTCGTTGTCCAGGTTTGCTTGATTGATGAGCAACTGATGAGAACTGTATAAGCGAGGGATCCATGAGAGAGAAGGGGGATATACTTGAGAAGCAGCGGTGAGAATCCCTAGCGCAAACTGGACATAAGGGTGGACCTGTACGCTTACATCAGAGCGTGCAGGCGACGGAGGGGTAAGGCGCCTACATTCGATAGAGCGGTAACAAAGGAGTTGAACAATTTGAGAGGCCGGAGAATCGTCTCGATACTTTGAATCTTCGTCACCGCGGTATCGGCCTGCCCAACGAGACCCACAGCTGTTTGCAATACCTGGGGAATGGGCCTCATCTCAACCATTGCCTGTTGTGCATCATTGACCTGGCTGCCAATTCCGGTGTCGGTTGTCTCTGTAGTAAGAGGCTCTGATCGAGTCTGGTTCGACCGATGGAAGAGACGTCTCATCCCGGAGAACAGTTTTCGAGGTGTATTTGCCGACGATCCAGCAACCGAGGGGGCGTCGGCAGAGGGGCGAGACGCTTCTTCCGACTGCTGGGGCAGAGATCAATAAATACCATCGCGTGCAAGGCATAAAATGTGTACCGAGGGAATGTTAGGTGCGGTCGAGCTAGGCCTTTCGGAGCTAAACAGACGATGTTTCTTCAGTTGCTTGCGAGTCATTGAGAAATCCGTATTTTGTGTAAGCTTTGTAGGCTGGATTCGAGGTTGAGAGACGTAAATCAGACAGTAGCCAGACTCAGGTGTTGAAAGCGCCGACATGCTGTGGACACGTTGCAGGTGGCACTGCTGGAGGCCTGGCGCGCGGGCCAGATACATACACAGTGACGCTATCCTCGATATCTAATGCTTATGATAAGGAATTCGACTCCTTCATGCTCGCATTGAACAGAACGTCGACGCCAAGTCTATGAATATTCTCGCTATGCAGTAGTACCTTGCAGAAGAGTCGGATCATCCGGTTTTGTAACTCGTGGACGGAGACCCCAGTCATTGATCGAGTTCACTTTGAATCAGCAGTAAGGATTCAGCTTTACCTCACGGTTGGCTTGTGCATTTCACAACACAATTCCACGTTTCGACGAGCTTGCGCGCTGCTTCGGTCGTGCACCGATTCGATGACAATTAGTGTAGGCCTTCTTGGTTTGTTGTCCGATTTCAAAAATTTCCACCAACGATGTCAACGACAAGACTACCGTCGCCACGTGTTATTCCGGGTCATCGATCCCATACCCTTCCACCCACAACGCCGCTCTCCTCGCAGGTCGGTGGACACGCAGGGGTGCAAACAACCGAGGACGGCTCGTTGCTCCTCAAACCAGCCCTCCCTCCCAGAGAACTGGCATCCTGCCAGCTCGTTCGCAATGGCGTATCGCTAGACATCGACGCCACGACAGTGGCGAAATAACAAGGATCGTTATAACGACATGCTACAGGGCAAACAAGTTGGGCACCGGGGATTCGGCGATGACGTTCAAAGTACTATGCGCTTTAAATTGCTTCCAGAGGTGAGAACAACGGCGGGGATTTTATTGCAGAAATTATATGCTCAACATTTACTTATCGTTCATTTCTAGAGGCGCCCGGAGGTAAACCACGTATTGATACACGGGACGATCATGTTCGCATCTCTTCTCCCTCTCGGCACTTCACACACGCCTGGCATGCTACCATCGCACAGGTGTCCTATTCAAATAATATCTGCTCTCACTCGCAGACTTACTTGGGTACCGCAAGTATTGGCTGACGAGGTCATTTCTCCTCTGGTCTTCTAGCCTCATGAGTTTTTGCTTGTCGCCGGCGGAACGGTTTTCGCACCCTGTCACCACACAACTCACGAAAACTGGTCGATTGACTTGCCGTTCCTGATGACACTAGGTAAGTGAACCCTACCGTCAAGCCAAAGCGGAACTCGTTCATTCTCCATCTTGACCGATGTAGCTTAGCACCAATATAATATAATTTTCCAGTGTTTTAGCAGAGAAGACGATCTCTTATCGGGATTCAAGTCCTTCGTCAAAGTTTGCAGAGCTCTGCGAATGAACTGCAAGGTTAGACTGAGTCCAGCCTTTACTTCATTAACGGTGCCCTTCTCGTCGGGTCCTCGGTGCTCTCACCAGCGTGACACCCAAGTCTGCTCATGTACGCTTTTGGGACGTTGATGATTGAGCTATGTTCCACGGTGTTGGGCAAAATCCAGGCCCCTCGTCTGCCTCGTGCACCCAATATGTGATTTACGTACAGTCATAACTATTTCTGCTGTTGTTCCCGTCCGTTTCCCGCTTGGACCATGTTGGTGTCGCGAAGTTGCGTTGTCAACTTGGCCTTTATGGACCGTTGCGGGGTACTTCCCAAAAAGGAAGGACATTCATGCCAGGGGTTCATCCCTAAAAATCAGCATTGTTATCACGGCATGCTATAGTGCAAAGAATTTGGACACTGCGGATTCGGCGCTGAGGTTCAATGTATTGTGCGCACTGCACTCTAGATTACTGCCGGAGGTGAGAACAAGGGCAGGAATTTTATGGCAGAAACTGCGTGTTCAATGTTCACTTACGGTTCATCTCTAAAGGCACTCGAGGATAAACCATGCAACGATACACAGGAAGATCATGTTCGCGTCTCTTCTCCTTCTCGACACCTCACAGTGGAAACCAGTCTATTCTTCGCGTATTGGAGTTGTAGAAATTGTAAAGATGGTGCGGGCAGTGGCATCTGGCCGGGCCATCTGCATCGCTAACCCATACTCCCTTACCTGAAATTGGTGATCGCTAGCTTGATAGTCACTCTATGCATTTGAGCAAATGCTGGCGGTGTCTGTTTGGTCACCCGCGGGGATACATGCGAAACTCAATGGCATGGTCAAAACCGGGGCGAACGCCTTATACAGCTTCTGGCGTGACGAGTGCAAGGACTCTGCCTTACAAGCCCATGAGGACGACGAAACTCGGAAGCATGGCTAATTTGCAGTCGTCGATGTTTCTAGTCCATGGTGACGAAACAGAACTTCAAGTCAGCCATTGGTGGACGTAGACTTGAAAGAGAAGATGCAGGGTTGGCATGGACGTTTGTGAGGATGGTGTTGAAGGGTGAGTAGATAGTCTGTCCCTTTTTTGAGGGAGAGAATGATGTAGGTTGTGTGCGGTGTGAACGTGGTGCTGATGAGAGTTCTCTATAGCTGCACAGGTGGATACGGATGTATTACTTGCAGCACTTGGAAGTCGGTAGGAGGGTAGTATTGCCGTGGGATCTTGAGTTGACCAGGTGATGTGACGGTTCGACATATGCACGTACTGGTAACACGTAGGGCTGGTTAGGCGTTTGTTCCTAGGTATACTTAACATCGCTATTTGGGTACACAGCACAATTTTTCGTCCGCAAGCAGTCTGTTACTCGATTTAGCAGTCAGTCCACAGGGCCCTTGCCTGCCATGAGTGGAGGAGGGGGTCAGAACGGGTAGCAGTATATCACGCATGCAACTGCAGTTCACTCGTGACCGTGTGTGTGCTGGCGTAGAGTCACAGTAGTGTGAGAAGCGACGTGACGCAGGCAGCATAGATCAACAGACACGCGGATACGGTCTCCGAGCGACGTTGCGTGATGTCTGGTAATCAGATGAGTGCACGAGACGTGGCACGACGCCCATCCTAATAGCACCCACGAGCAAGCTTCCGACCGTCACGCACTTCTCCAACGAGCTGGGTCTATGACGAAGTCTTCAGCGAGCATCTCGGCGCACGCAACGTTAGGTATGAGATGAAATATGGCAGACATCTTACAAGAAGCTATCTCACAGTCGTCAAAATGTCTAGCTAGGAAAGGAAGGCGCATGATCTATCGCAGTTTGGCCAACTGGAACTAGGTTGCTGGACAGCTATGACTTACGTTGTTCATGTCCGTGGAATCGGGGTGAGATTTCCACCTCATCTGGTCCTGACCTATTGGTTTGCTAATTGTAACGATATCAATCACAGTTGATAGGACCAATAACAAACACACACATGTAAGGTCTGCCATAGGGTCATGCCCTAATAAAGAGTCCGATTTTATAAAATGGAGGTCATCGGACCCTGGGTGAGGCCACGTCGTTGCATGATGTGGGCAGTGGATGTGGGACGACGAGATGAGTGCCAACGTGACAAAGAAATGGCGGCAGAAGCCCAAACACCACTGAATCGCCCCCAACTCCAAACGCGACATCGTCCCTAGCCCAATGGGTATATGTCAGATGGGTAGTATCTCTGCCAAGGAATTGACACGCGCATGTGGTTTGAAATTTGATGGCTGGTCTTCGGACGGTTGAGAAGTGAAGCTGCGACCGAGGAGAAGAACTTCCGAGTCGGTATGTGACGAGCAGGCGTTGCGGTCCGTTTACCAGGCAGTTCGTAAAATTTCGACGACCTCTAGATGGAGTACGATGTTTCCTCTGCAGTGCCGGGTGCAGAAGCCAGCTGGCCCTTCGACGATCCCAACGCCGAAGTGATCCTTCGGTCCTCGGATAATGTCCATTTTAGAGTCTTCAAAGGCAACCTTGCACTCGCATCTCCTGTCTTCAAGGACATGTTCACTCTCGGTGCCTCAGTCCATGGTGAACGCCCATTGAACCCTTACTCGTTACCCATCAGTCCTCTCAGAAACAGGAACCGTGTTGGACATGTTGCTCAGACTCATCTATCCTGACAACCCCCGAACTCGACTCTATTGACGACATAAAGACTCTCGTTGCTACTGTCGTCAAGTACGATTTGATAGAACCAGCCGTCCATCATGCCACAGACCTGATAACTCGCAAATATTTGCAATCAAGCCCAGTTTCTCTTTATGCCGTCGCATGTCAATATGGTTGGAGGAACCTTGCAGAAAAGGCTGCGCGGGAAACGTTGAAGATCAAGGATTTTGGCCGGCCAGGCGGTTATGTGGCTGAACTTGAGGACATCACAGCAGGCGACGACCTCCTACTTCTGGAGTATCACTCTGCCTGTGCAACTGCTGCGCATGAGATCGACTTTCAAACGGAATTTGAGGACAACTTTCAACCAGAACTTAGAGACGAGATTGAAGACATGCCACAAATCATCTGCCGCTGCCCAAAGGATGTATCAGGTCATGAGTGGTTCCATGATTACTTGACTGCCACACGCGAGGCACTACTCCATCGACCCGATCCATCAACTGTCGAGAATCTGGATTTTCTTTGAAAGGTCAATTATCCTACCATATGTTCAAGAGCGACTTTGCGTCTCAGTCGGGTTTCTGAGATATTTGCTGAGGCAGTGAAGGGCACCATTTCCAATGTAAGTGTGACGTTTCATATGGTTCGAAGGTGATTCTAGAGCATTCACTCGAACTTGCATGCAAGGTAAAACTGGACTTTAAGTATTGAAGACCACTCTCCGATCGCGAGAGTCGCTGCATCACGGAGCTGGGACACTGGGCGAGGGCAGTTTTTCCATGCTACGCAATTCTCGACTACTTGCTCCAGAGACGAGGAATAGTGATTTTAACATTACGAAATCAGTCAGTTCGTCGCTTCGTCCACCGAATAGTGACTTCAGCTGAAAAACAGTCAGTTTTTCATATATATTTTCTTGTCGCCTTAGGTTGCAGTCCAGCGGCGGTGTAGTTGAACGCACCGTCCGCATTTTTGTAGCATTCGCCTTTGGATGCAGCAGGCGTGGAGTAGCATGACTTCCCACCTTCCTGTATGGTTTCGCATTGGCCAGCCGGCCAACATTCCTCGTAGACAGAAATTTAGTTTGTTACACTCTCCGCTCGACCGCAACGTTGTAACATGCACAGATTTGTGCAACTGACGTTCTGCTTGACATGCACCGAGGGAAGTAAACGCACTGAAAACAAGTGCCGCATGTACTGTATAATAGTCCCAAAAGCACCGGATATCAGTTCCACGCAATGAAAATCAGTGCCAAATTGTGGCACTGATATTTCATTTTTGCTACTAATAACTAGTGCCATGCATCAGTGTCGTTGACGTGATTTTTCAGTGTCAAAACGGTACTGATTTCCACTCATGTTAGGCACTTATTTTCTGGAAATTTCCATTGAAGAAGGCACTGATTTTTGCTCACAATGGCACTGATTTTCAGTCAAGAGTGCACTTATCATCAGTCACAAAAGTACCATTTCACTTGCAAAATTAACATTGATTAGACAGCACATCAACATTAAGTGCTGCTAGGGAATCAACAATACAGATTACTGGGTGCATAGAAGTCCAAGTAGCACGAGGTGGAAGTGAGTTCTGATGAAAGTGCATAAACAGTGTGGCTGGGGAATCAATCAACAATACACATAGCTGGGTGTGTAGAAGTCCAAGAGGTGTGAGGTGGCATTGAGTTCCAATGAAAGTGCATAAATGGTCTTGAAAGTGTCCAAATAAGTTAGCTAAAAGGAAATGAGAGTGGATTGACAAGGTGCAGCCTAGTTATGAATGTTCTGTCATGGTTGGCCTTGCCAAGTCTTTGATTGAGTAGTGCAATTCACCTTAGTGTGTTCCTGTACATTTGACCACATATGAGTCATGAGTGCAGAAAGGACAGTGATGGGGGTATAACAACTGAATTGCCTTATACTCACTAATGTCATGAGTCTGGCAGTTTGACCTATGCTTGCATTTGGGGCATGCTGCTGGACCTGTGTAAGTGGTGATATCCATATCAGTACAACACATTGGAAGCATCAAAGGTAATACACATGCAGTGGCCACTGGTGGCACTGTTGATTGGGACTTGCTGCTTGGCATGACTGTCATGGTCTGTAAGGTTAGTAGTGTCAGTAAGGTGCAATGTTAGTGGGATAAAGTCTGTAGTGAATGTCAACCTTCACCTGCATCAGTAAACCACTTTGTGTGCTGGCAGTCCTAGGGAATCTGTCCAGTGCTGGACAGCTCTGGACAACTCTGGCCAGCAAAAGTGATTTACTGATGTGCTCTGAATGTAACTTGTTGGCAAGCTTGATTGGAATCATTGTCTGTCACAAGTAATTTAACTCTGAGGCAAGGTTGTGGCTAAGGTGAATGAATGGGCTAGCTTGCCACTGGATGTCTCCTGCAAAGTACCCACTGACCCACCCATCAGCTACAGGGTGGAATGCAAGGGTGGGGAATGGAAACTGCAGGTTCACATTAAGCTAACATTTAACTACAAATCTTTCTCCAGAACAAACTGAATATCAGTCACATTCATGGCCTGCCACTTGCATTTGGCATGCTCAGCCAACCTCAAATACATCATCCTCTGCCTTGCTGCATAACACCACACCCCAGGAGCTCCAATAGTGCTGCTTCCCATCTGTATCTTATCCCATTCTTTTGCTCAAAATCTGAAGAAACTTATAGCCCATTGAAATTCTGATATGATAAGCTCTTCCTCTTCTTGCCAATGATCTTTGACAGATTTTGCTCACAGCCAATGAATGCAATAAACTAATTGAAGAAAGTTCATCAACCTTAAAGCACTGTTGGACAGTAAGGTCAACATACATTCAGACATCCAACTCTTTGGGAGAAGGCTGCTGTCTGCACAGCCAGGTCTTCTTTATGAAGCCCTTGATAACATCCTAAGATATCTGCACCTGTGCCAAGTACAACCATGGCATCTCTGCATCAATTATAAATCATGGCCTGTTGTTTTACTGAGACATTGATAGTGCAGATCATATCCCAGGCCCAAGTTTTCACAGAATAGCTCTTAGCTGTGTGCACCACCCCCCAAAAGACAGCTGCCTTGTCTGCCAACATAAGATGGAGGCCATGTAGTGCATCATTAGCTTGACCTGTGTGAAGCTTCAGCTCCATTTCTGCAAGATTTTGAAGCCCTTGAGCTCAACATGCATCAATGCCAAGAGCAGATGGAAGTGGCAATTTGTCCTGCAGTCCTGCCAGGGTTCCATCTGAAGCAGGCAACTCATCCCCCACATTGTCCAGCCAACCATCATCTGAAGCATAATCCTGCTCTGAATTTGCATCAAGAAACATGGTCTGCTGTACAGATTTGCTGGTGGAAGTGTTGGAGCCTGCTTCAAGGTGCAGCTTCAAGTAAATTGTGGCATCTGCGATAAAACCTGATTGTTCAGATGCAATGCAATCAGCACAGCATGCCATAGCCAATTTTTTCAATTCCGATGCCTGTTCCCCAATGTCCTTTCTGTCCATGTGAAGTGAGGTTATGGCCTCTTCTAAGTGTAAACTGCATGCTAGCCAACTAGCTGCTCCATGTAGGCTTCCACTGGGTCTTGGTTCCTCCAATAACACTAGTTCAATGGCATGCACTGTTGGTGCTTCTTGTGATATGTCAGTATTTTGCATTTATCCAAAAAGGCAGATGCCATACCTGCCCTTAATTGAACTTTGAAGATGTCCATGACAGATGGGTCATTGATGCAATCATGCAGTGCACGAATCTCTTGCATTTGCCAGCTGTTTCACTGCTCTGCAGTCAAGGCTTCATCTAGCTTTATATATGCCTGCCTTGCCAATGGTGCTGCTGCTCAAGCCACTTTGAGCTTCTGCAATAGGCTATCTGCTTAATCTTGGATGTCAGAGAGTGTGCTGCAAGTGGATCCTCAGACTAACCAATCTGAATCATCTTCATGAAGTTGGAATCATTCATCTGGAAATCCAGCAGTTCTTGGCAGTGTGGTGAGGTCATCCCACATGCAGATGTGGATGCCACATTAAGGACAGACCACAACTGTTTCAATGATTTCTCTGTCTACCCATCTGCCCCCCTTGATGAACAGTGGGGCATACCATGCATAACATTCCTTCTTGTGCCCATGCACATGGCATATGCTGATTCCAGGGATAATCTGAAGTGATGATGGGATATCAATCATCTCACTTCGACCCACACACTTCTGCAGATTCATCATGTAGGAGCAGTTAATGTCATAGAAGCAAACCACTTGTTTGATCCCTTCCATATTGTATCCCAACACATTTGCCAAAGAGTAGTCCATGTTCAACTGTCTGCAGCACCATCAGCAGGTGTCAAAATCAATGATTCAACCTCATGCCTTTCTCCTTTTTGGAAGTCAACAACACAATGCAGATAAAAGCATCCATGCCATGCACATGCAGTTGCCCCAATTCCGGTTGCATGAAGCTTTCCCTGGGCTGCGTTTGCCTGACTGATAGCTCTGTGGTTGTTGCAGGTGGATTTCTGTGCCTGAGCTCAGGTCATGTTTTGCATGGGTTGAATGAATTCATACCTCTGCAATATGTGGAGTGGCCTTCAAATAGTCCATGTAGTGCAGATTGGTCACCATATAACCTAGTCTGTCCACCAACCACACCTGATCTTCAGATTTCCACTCATGCATGTGTTCTGCTTTAAAGTTTCCATCCATTACTACTGTGTGGGTGAACCACCAGCTGGAGAAGGTCAGCATATGAGGATTGCATTATTGGAGCTGCTTACTGGTCCAAATCCTCATTAGTATCAACATTTATTCCAGGCTGGGGGCATGCTGTGCAAAATAATGCCAGTCCACCTTTCTCTGCTGACCTGGTTGTCCTGTGGAATCCATTCCATTTAAGTAGCTTGAGGTATCGCCATTTCTGTGCAACCTGTAGAAGCTCACAGTATCTATCCTGATTGACCCTTCAGACATTCCAACACTTGGAACCAAAACACCAAATCTTACTGGAACAAGGTGTGGAAACACACTGGATGTGATCTGATGCAACTTGCTGTAATAGTTCATACCAGATGTTCCACATTCCAGGTTGTCCCTCAGGAAGTCATCCAGAACCATGAATGTGAATGCAGTGCTTGGCTTCTCGAATGTTGAGGGAAATAGTTTGGCTCTGAGTAACTGTATGTATTGGGTGTCTGCAGTCTCACATTCACACCAATTCACTACAATGAAATGAACACCTGTGACATCCATGATGGTGAGATATCTTGACCCTGCTGGAGGACAGAGGTGCTTTGGGTTTTCTTCAATATCTTCCACATCTTCCCATTCTTGATCATCCATGGGCAGAGGTTCACCTGC